CATAGTTACTGTTGTTGTGGTGTAGATTTAGTCTGGTGAGATTCTGTCTGTTAGGTGTAAGATAATAAAGGAGCTTAACTGTTCTGGACTCTTACTGTTGTTCTTGGGCTGAACCTGACATCAATCTCGCCCATTCTCTTGGCTTTCTGGCTGGGGAATTCTGGGAGTTGAAGTCCACACCTCTTAAAGTTGTTAAGGTTGAGAAACACTGTGTTAGACTGTGGATAGTATAGTGTATAAGCAATGTGTGATGGAATGGAATTATGAAGGCCACACTCAGGGAGGCAAACATCCTCTTATCTCTTCCGCCCTTCTGGAGACGAAAGAGGATGTTTGCCTCCCTGAGTCTGGCCTTCATAATTCCATTCCATCACACAACGGCAGCAATTAACAACTCTGCAAGCTCCTTGTTGCAGAATCTCTTTTAGCAGAACTGTTACAGAACCTATTGCAGCTGCCAGCTTTATTGCAAAGGGAATCCAGGGTAGATGTTCTCTCACCAAAGTGGCTGGCTGTGAGATATGCTGATGACAAATGCTTCCCCAGTCTGGCCAGAGAGAGTACGACCACTTCTATCGACAATGGTTCCCGATACCTAAAGACCACAAGGACAGTGGAGGGGAAGACAAAACAACTTTAAAAACAGTGCAATAATAGATGCTAAAGTGAAATTAACTTTAATGCTTTTGGGAAACCACTCCTGTGAGAAACAGCTGACTTGCCACAAGATTGGTCTGGAAATGACAAACTCCTTTTTCTATCCCATGTTTCTCCAACCAGATGCCTTCCATGCATTTGGGGGACTACAATACCCAGAAACCCCAGCAATTCATGGGTTGAAGCTTCAGTTCATCTCAAAGGTAACGACTGGGGGAGGCTGCTCTATCCAAAGAGCACAGCAGCAGGAATTTTTTATCTGCATTCAACAGACACTCAAAAGCCAGCTGAATCTTAGTGATTTTGCTCAAATAGGGATTTTTTCTTTCTTTGCAAAAACAGTTCATTTTCTGTAGCAGTATGAGAAGGAGTCCTCCTCCTCACCTTCAACTTTTATTCTGCTTATGAAACTTTACATTTTTCTGAACACTGCAAGCTGACAGGCCTTTTTTAATTAGTGTTATATTTCTAATCCTGTATACACTGTATATAATGTTCTCATTACCAAAACCACGTAAGATCTCTATGGAAACAATAACATATAGCGGAACCAAAAGTAGCAGCAATATCATTTCAACAGACGATCCTATGAATTACATATCAAGTTCTTATCCATGAAGCCTACCTGCCGTGCTGTAAAAAATACAACAAGCTTATAAAAGCAAAATGATTGGTTTTCCTTGACATCCTTGTTTAACAAATGTCCTCACGTGAGCCATCCAGCAAAGTAATTTTGGGGATCAAGCGCCAAGAGCGTGTTGAGAATATATGGGTTAAATACATATTCCTCCTTTAATTAATGATAAATGTTCCCTGATGGGATTATCATCTCCTACCTTCAGGTCACAAGGTACAGAGGAGAGCTTACTGGGCATTATGGCAATCCTCTCCAACAGCTGCCGCTGAGCGCGCTCTTCAAGCACATTAGTCAATCAAGGGCAGTTGGAATGCCACTGCATTTCATCAAGAGCATCCAACTGCCCGTTCCTGTGCCAGGCAGACTGGCTGCTCCCAGAAGGAGTAGAAGGTGGTGCCTGGTGACCGTATGGAGCAGCAGCAAACAGGAAGCTATCAATAAGATTTAGGAAGCTTTCAGCTACTATTGAAGTGCCCAGCTGGATCCCAGCACATTTAGAACAACAAACATAAAGGCAGCAGCTGGGGAGGAGAGGGGCGTTCCAAAACTCAGCAGGAACTACCCTGTGAGTTAGAGCACAGAACTGCATACTGAGCAATAATGTTATTTATTTGTATTTTTAGCATACAGAGACTCTGGGCAGGAATTAAAGTATTTTTGAACACGTAAAATGGTCCAACAAAAAAAGCTATGTATTACAGTTGCTGAGCCCACAATTTGTCCTCCTAGCATTAAGCTTCATCAGCTAATGAAGCCATAACTTAGTGTGAAAATTACTCCGACTCAATGCTGGCATCTTCCAGGGGAAGATAATTAAGGGGCCAGACAAGATTCTTGTAATTTGGCACACTGGTAATATTATTAAGGACATTTTCAGACTGTTATGCGTGGCAGGTCAGAAGATGATATTCTGGATCAAAGTCATTCATTTACTATCACTTACTATCACTAGGAAGCTATAAAGCACACACTGGAAAGAGCAAGCTATCACACAGTATGTATAGTTTCCAAAACACAGTGTTCTTGATTGGGTTAACTACTGTAGAAAAGTGGATGTACTCTTTTTTCAGAAGAACTGGATAATTCTAAGTTTAATTCTTATACTCACAAACAATGGTCTCGGTTCATATTCTTCTTCAAATAAGTTTTGGAGAGCAAAGAGAGCTGCCTGTCCAATGAAAATATCATGGTAAGTTAATCTGTCACACTTTCTTTACCCTAGGAAATTCTCATTTCATAGATGTGGAAGAGAAGGGGACAAATTACCACTAATAAAAGCGTGCAACTCAATCCTCCTCCAAAACACACATACACACAGTCAAGCAAAGTATTCACACCACAACGGAGCCTGCCAGACATCTGTAACCACAAGAGACACACTGATTTGTGTCTCCTATTGCAGGATTTATTGCAGAATATAGCCCATGAATGTATATAGAACTGAATCAGGTCAGATGTCTTAATAAGACCTCAACTCAATTGTGCAGGCAGTGCAGAGAACACATAGGGACACATTAGAAGATTCTGCAACTAGAGCTTCAGTCAGGCTAGAACATGAACCTCACTGAGATCTTCAAGGCTCACAGGGAGAGGTCAAGGCATTTCCCACTTCATAAACTTTATCTCTTATGCAAAGTATAAGGTTCAGGTCTGAGACTATTTGCTTCACTTTACTGTTATGACTTTGTATGAGAATTCCAGAAAAACAGATAAAGGCAATTGTGTCCCCTTTTTCCCTTCCATTTCTAAAACCTCTCTTTAGTCAAGGGAAAAGTACATTTTTAAAATCTCATGACAAAGATTTCCAAATCTGAACTGCCCACACCATAAACCAGGGGACAGCATTATCCTCAACCTTTGCTGGTTTAAAGAGAAACCAAACTCTCATTTTAAATAAAAGGTTATCTGCCAGCACAGACTGCCTCTATTAACATAGGCAGACAATGACTTTCTTTTCACATATCATTGGGAGTGGGCATTGTCATTATCAACTGTTCAGTATGCTTCTAAGATTCTACTTGGAAAACTCACCTTGGCATTGGCTGTATCAAAAATGGTTTCAACCAGCATGATATCTGCTCCACCATCTAAAAGACCTTTGGCTTGTTCAGTGTACGCATCTACCAGTTCATCAAAAGCTAAAACACAGCAACAGATAGTTACAACAGTGAAAAATGTACTTTCCAGTTCCAGCTGGAAATGTGACACTCAGATGCTCCATACCTGGTGGATATGAAGGAAGGTTGTATTGTAATTCCTTATAATTTGGGGTACTATATGATAGCATCTGATGGGCTATCAGATATTACTGAATGTTTGCTTGGCTACTTAAAAAATACCCGGGCCTCTTCTAATCTGTCATTAATTATGAATTTATTAACTGTAACCAAACATGAAATAAAACTCAAAGTGGAAAATCTTTAGATTTGTTGAAGTTTTGAGTTAATATGGCAGAATTGGAATTAGAATTAAACTGACATAAGCAGGTAAAGCCAAATTAATAATCATTCTCAGTTTTAAGATTATCAATGGAAATACTTACTAACATTCCGGTAATCAGGTCTTTCCACTGACGGGGAAACAGAAAGTGTCTTGTTTGTGGGGCCCATTGCCCCAGCAACATACCTTTTACTTCCTTAACAAAGGAGAAAAGCACAGCCATATTTATATGACAAGCTTTGGATTGTAAGACAAAGAAATACAAAATATCAGCCAATATCTGACCTTATGGTCTTCATTTGTGTGTTGTAAGAGAAAATAATGACTGCCTTCCTGAGACTGGATGATCCATTCTACCAAGAAAGGACTTGCCAGAGATTGCCTCTGAGTATAGAGGTCTACCTCTACGAATCCCCACTCACTATAATAATGACCATTATTTTACGTTATAAATGAACAAAATCCTGAAGTGAACACCAAAGATAGGGATGGGTAAACTGTGACCCCAGAATTATAAGTGGCCACTGAACTTTTAGCTTTTAAAAACCCTTTAAATGGCGCTGCCAAATTTTGATTTCCTACCATTTTGCAATAGGAAGCCCATGAAAAGAATAGCATAATCCTAAAATAAACTTATCACCATTTTAAGAACTAAAGAAAGCCCCAAATTTCCTATTCTAAAGCAGGAAAAAAATAGAAAATGTTGACTTCACACATGCACATGAAGGCCTACTTTGTGTTAAGACTTCGCCTACTCTCATATTGTCCCCACTCTAAATCACTAAGTGTGGTCTTGGCCAAAGTTCACATTTCTGGTATGGTGCTGTATGCTCATAGCAGGCATATGAGGGTCTGGATGGGGAAGAACAGGGTTCAGGTTAATCTTGCAAGAGAGAGTGACTTTAGCTTTTAAGGCCTCCTGGATCTGGTGATTTCCATCTTTAGTTCTGGATGGGTTGCATAGAATCAGTAAGCAATTTGGGGGTTCTCCTGGACTCACAGCTCCTGTTCGAAAAGCAGATAACAGCCACAGCCAGGGGGGCCTTTGCACAGCTTTGTGTTGTGCACCAACTGCACAACTTCCTGGATCAAGACGCACTGCACACCTTCACTCATGCTTTGGTCACCTCCCAAATAGATTATTGCGATGCTCTCTACATGGGGCTGGCCTTGAAGAACATCTGGAAGCTCCAATTGGTCCAGAATACAGCAGCATGGGTGTGCCTTCTAATGCTCATATTACATCTTTGCTCCACAAGTTGCATTTATTATTTCACACAGTATTGAAAGCCATCAGAACATGGACCTTAGAAAATTCAGCTTGGCATGAAAATAAATAAGAAAGAAAGGTAGACTCAAAAGATCAAAAACTAATTAAAATGGGTATTGGTGAAAATACAGAAATTAAAAAGTGCTGCTAAAATTCAGGGAGTTATAATCCCAAAATATCAGGTGGACACCAAATTAGGTAATGCTGCCCTTATTAACAGTATATGCTTATCACTCTTCATTGAAGGAAACTTCTAGTAATATGGTGATTTAAACCACAGTCAACCTTCATTAACAACCCTGGATAACTCGTGATATAAATGCAAATCAGCATGTCAAGTTACTCACCTGTCTCAGCAGTAACATCATCAGCTGCTTTTCGAGCTATCTGTGCTGATATTTTATTTAACCGATAAGCCTGATCAGCCGATTGGGAGGTAGGTAGTAGATACAAAAAAAAAAAAAGTAATTATCTTCATTTCACTGCACTGAACCCTCCTTTATACTTCTGCAATCAAAAGGTCTTATACACAGGCACACTTGTGATCCTAATACTATCACCTAACTGTAACAGTCTCCATATTGTTTAGAAGAACCAACTGGCAAGAGCTAATCTTAGGACAGGAAACACACTGAAGCCACAATGAAATGGAACAGAAATTATGCCAGTCCACTGTACATGGGTGATTTTTTAAACGTATTTAGGAATTTCTACTTCTGAAATGAATCAGGATGGGCAAGGGCAGGACATGGGCAAAGAAGGGTTTATACACTGTGTTAAGCCAAAATGGGGTTTACATATTTCTGGCTTAGAGATAAGTGAACCAGATCAAGGTGTAAGGCAGATGCTTGAAAATAGAAACAAAAGGTTCTGAGATTTGTTTCTTGGCTGCATTAGAAAAAGCAGTTAGGGAATTTGCAAACCCATGGATTATTCATTTAACATTATAGTTCACAAACACCTTCAAAACAGCACTGTTACAAATGAATTTATCTCAGTGATCTAGAAAATGATGTCAGCTAAAACACAAAATAGGATTAAAAACAGCCTTGTTGAGATGATTCATTTAAAAAAAAAACACGTCTTGGCTGCTATTCACATCAAACAACAGGATATGAAAGGTGGTACAGTCTTGCAAAGATGCAAACATCTATCACTGCAGATATGACATCTGTTTGTTTTTTTCAAGGAGAAGAAAAATGATTTAACAAAAAAAGAACTTCACTATTCAAACTGAATATCTTAAGGTCCTCACCTAGATAAGAGCGTTTTAAAGATTAGTTTACATAAACCTACTTCAAAGCCACACTGTACAAGCCCCAACAGTGATGGGAAAGAACAAATATTTACAGTAACAAGGTTGGAAATAACCAAGCAAAGCATTGCTGTTTTCACAATTAGGCTCCTTTGGCAAATAATCAAGTGAGACACAAGTGGCAAATGAATGGTGGATTATTGCTGCCCTTAATCCTTGCGGGTTCTTTCCTGTTCATCAGTCCTAATTTGCAAAGCTAAACAATCTTTTATCAAAAGTAAGCAAATCAAAACTAAGCTATCACAGACCTGATGGAGTTCTTAGATAAAGTTTATATATTTCCCGGGAATGTAGATGCCACTATATAGCATCCTTCCCTTCCCAACTTACAGTCTAGACATATTGACCCCAGTTTCCATGATTCCCAGCCAGTCAAAGCCCAGTCAAAGGAAAACCCAAACTTGACAAGTAAGAAATCCAGAACTCTCACCAGATGTTCAAGGCCATAGTCAGCTTGTGCTATTTTAGTGCTGCTGAAAGTGTTTGTCTCAATGATATCAGCACCAGAAAGCAAGTATTCCTGTAAGAAAAACAGAACAATTGACGCTTTGACATTCAGGTACCTGGGAATGGAACGCATGATACAACCAGATACAGCCAGAGTTTGTTGAAAAATGAACTCTTTCTAGAGGCTACTAGTTTAATTTCCTGCAGGAATGTTTCTAAATAATGCTATTGTTGGGGGCATGATGGGACATCAAGAGGACTTAGAGCCTCCACCTAGATGCTGCTTGGGGTCTGTAGACCCACCCACACACCAAATCTAGTAAGCTGAAGAACAACACAAAACAAAGTTCGTCTTAATTATTCAACAGCCAGAAAACCGAACTTGTAGTCAATGGCTACTGAATAGATGGTTGCTTTAATCAAGTCCAAAGGTATATTATCAATAAGCGAATACTAGCTTCTTGAATAGACTATACATAGTTAACAGTTTGTCTACCATTGCTGGTCAAGTAACTAGGTATAAAATGGGACATTCTCTCTGATCACTTTTAGTTCTATTATTAATCTTCTGAGATTAGAGGGAAAGCTTTAGAAATCCTCCCAACTGCAAACTCAGCTAATGTTTTTTCATTATTTGAACAGCAGGAGAGGAAAATCTACCATATATTATATAACTAAATTATAACTGAAAAAGGCAACAGCAGCAATTCCTCTTCCATATTCATGTTGCTACACTCTACAAAGAAATGTTCAGTTGCATTCCAGATTTGGAGGCTCCAATATGACTGTCTGGCTCAGTTTAAACTCTCCTGTTTTTGTTTTTTTTTCCTCAGCAGCGAAGAAAATAAATGAGGACAAGGGTAATTACAGCCCATTATATTTTAATCAAAATGCTACCAGGGAGAATTCCCAATTTGGATTTTCAGTAAAATTGACTGATAATTGAAAATATTTCTCTGCATACCCAATCTTTTTTAAAACTAAGGAAGGATTAATGTTTTCAAGGGTGTGTGTGCCAGCCAAGTCCATAATGTCTTTGAGCAGCATACAATGTTAAAATCTGAAGAGAAAAATAAAAACATGACTCTCAATTCCCCATATGTGTGTGTGGCACGTGTATGGGTATGGGCATAGGAATGAATGGAAGCCAGTGTGGTAAAATAGTTCAGGTTTATTTATTTATATTTAATCAATTTATACATATTGATGGATAAATTGATGGATCAATTAATTAAAGGTTAAGCTGCTGGACTAGGAGTGGGTTCTAGTCCTCTCTTAGGCCCAGAAACCTAAGGTTGACTTAATTTAGGTCAGTTGCTCTCTCTCTCAGGCTGAGACTGGGAAGTTGAAAAACTTCTATCTGCCTACCTGCACTGAACCAGCATAACCTTCAATAAAGAGGTCTTCATCCTACACTGGACTCCTTTGGATTGTTCTATCCATCCATCCATCCATCCATCCATCCATCCATCCATCCATCCATCCATCCATCCATCCATCCATCCATCCATCCATCCATCCATCCATCCATCCATCCATCCATCCATCCATCCATCCATCCATCCATCCATCCATCCATCCATCCATCCATCCATCCATCCATCCATCCATCCATCCATCCATCCATCCATCCATCCATCCATCCATCCATCCATCCATCCATCCATCCATCCATCCATCCATCCATCCCTACACATATATTTTGCCATTAGCATCTGAAACATGTGCCCTTCTCTAGTGCAAATAAAACCTAGAACCTGAACTGGGGTTTCAAACATTTGTGCACACTGGGCAGGGTGGGGGGGAAGGGTTAATGCAATGGTAAAAAAATGTAATGCATTTGCCTGGCATCTGCAAATGTATAAATAATTACTTTAATTTCATTAAAATGGCAATATATCTCATCGCAGGAGGGAAGACCATGTCCAATTAATCAATGTGTCTTCTCACAGGTAGAAGTTGTCAAAGGACCACTTTACTGTAATCCCCCTGCTGGTGACTGTCATATTAATGCATACACAACTCGTCTTTTTCAAGGAGCAGATTGTATATGTAGCTATGTTATTTATCTTGCCTTAACACATGATACACAAAGAACGCCTGTGGCACAGGGCTTGCTGTGGAGTAAATGCAGACTCAATTTAGCACTCCCATCCCTGGGACACTGCAGCCCCCGAGACACAAACTCTAGCTAGACAGACAGATACCCCTCTCACACCAGCAACACTGTTTATTTGCTTGCTTTGGCTGAGAGGCCCATCTGAAAACTCTCTTGGCCAGGAGCTGACAATGCAGCATATTCTGCCATGCCATTTGGTCAAACCATAAAGTCGCCAACTCAAAGAGCTACTTTGGATCCTTAAGCCCCAATGGAGCACAAACAAAAAGGTTTGGATCACACCCTAAGCTTTTAATGCCATGCAATTCACAAAAGATAAAGGCACGTGAATGTTTTCGAAAACAGAGCCTGCAGTAAAACACCGAAGCCTATCCCCAACGCACAAATGTGCTTGTATTTAAAGGCTGAAACCCATCTGGATAGTAACTTTTTAGAAATCAGAGAAATTTTTTTTCCTCCATTCCTCTTTGGTAGTGCTGTTTAAGCACCAGGGAATTACAATGTGGGACAGGATGCCTGGCCTCAAACTCAGAATTTTAATTCACCTTTGCACACCTTCTGCATAAAGAATCCCCAGATTGCACAAACCCTTTGCATTCCAAACTGAGAGGCACTGGTGTAGTGGTTAAAGTGCTGGCCTAGAAACCAGGAAGCGGTGAGTTCTACTCCTGCCTTAGGCATGAAAGCCAGCTGGGTGACTTTGGGTCAGTCACTCTCTCTCAGCCTAATCCACCTCACAGGGTTGTTATTGTGGGGAAAATAGGAGGAGACAGCATTATGCATGCTGCCTTCAGCTGTACAAAATAAAAGGCAGGATGTAAATCTGATCAAATCCTACAATCCAACCTGCCTCAAAACTCCCCTCCACCCTGCCTTTCCCCATTCTAGATGTTCACAGCCAAACTCCTCTGCCACCCAGAGGATTTCTTCCCTTTCAAATGGCCCTCTGTGAACCATGACATTCTCTTTTCAGATAATGAATTATTCTAATATGTGCACAAAACAGCAGGCAAGCCTTTGAGTCTATTCAAAGGAATAAATAGCCTCAAGAACTGTTCAATAGTGAAGTGAGAATCAGTGCCCTGAAGACCTAACTCTGGAGTGAGTTGCAAACAAGAACATTTGTTTCCAACAGGTGCCTGAGACAGTTTCAAGTTGCACGCTATTTTGGGAGTCCGAAATGGCCGGGTAACACCATTGCCCTGATACGGATTGTAGGATTTTTCTTGTGACCAACACAGGAAGTATTTTTTCTAATACTACTTACCCTTTTTTTTTCAAATGTGGGATCTTAAAGATGCCTATTCACCAGATAGATGAATAAGAGCTAAAACTTACATGCTCTTAATGGTTTTCAGCCATTTATTCTTTTCTGAGGGTCCATAAATGCAAATAATGATACAATATCACAAAATAGGAATTCATCAATATATTTGACAAAGAGTAAAAAATATGAGTGTAATCCAGTCCCATTCAAATTAGTGAAAATGTTCTATCCATTATCATTTACTCTCCAACTCTGTTGTCTTTTTCACTGACCAAATAAAAATGTGTAACAGATACTCAGCAGTCATCTTCATATGCCCCTTATCTGCAAAACCATTTTTGAGGAATGTGCCCATAATTGTGCTCTATCTAGACCACCTAAATGTAGCTCTCAAAAGTTGTTACACATGTCAGAAGAATCAATAAATTCTTTCTAGTACAAAACTCACAGAACATGCTGCACTCACCTTGTGAATTTTGTAGATGATATCAGGCTGAGTTATGCTCAGCAGGTCATTGTTTCCCTTGAGTGGTTTCAGGTGATCCTTAAATTCCTGACCTCGAAATTCCTCTTCTCCTAAGGAATATTGCTGGATCATGGTCCCCATGCCTCCATCCAAAACCATAATGCGCTCCTGCAGAATGGATTCTATTTCCTCTTTCAGGGTTTTTTTGGCATCTGCATTATGACAATGTTTAGAAAATTCTGCATTCAAAGCAATTAGCATCTCTTCTCGCAATCAGTCATAGGCTCTAAAATATTGTGGATTGTGAACATGCTGCCCTGAGTAAGGCATTGGCGTTAAAAGGGCAGATATACATTTTATATAAATAAAATAAATATAGCGATCAGTATTGTTGCAACAAGAATGAAGACACAAAAGTAGGTCATGGGCTAGCTACCTTCTGAAAGAGGGCTAACTTAAAGATTGAGACCCAGAGCTGCTAGAACTGCAACATCTAGTATTTTCAGCACAAGTGAAGGGCCTCAGATTGGAGAAGCCCTCATTTAATGTTATTTCAAGAGGAGAAACAATGCAATTTTACTAAGTACATGAACCCTTTTCAGGTATTTAAGCTCTACAAGCTTAAAGTAGTTTAAAATCATGTACAGCTGATGGGTCCTATGAAATTGTATTTGGATAAATGCAGGTTTTGAAATGTAGGCTTTCCCCTACACTTGGCCAACATCCCTGGCTTCTCTTATCTGCCTGTTGCATGAGCGCTTGCAAATCACAGACTTGTTACTTCCTGCTTTGGATTTTCTTCTTCATTCCTCCCTTGCCAGGAGCAATCTGAAAAATCTGTACACAGCATATTGTTTTCTTTGCTGCAGTTGCTCTCTGCACGGGTGGTACATTTAGCCTAACAGGGGACAGAGAACGCTTCAGATCTGGAAAATATGGGGCAGCTCAGAAGGCTGTGGTTTCCTGTCGTCTGCTAAGCTGTCAGGGAAGTACAGTAACAACCAACAACCAACAACCAAAAATCGATCAGAAACAACCAACAGACTATTACAACCACATGGCATCTCCGTAGCACACAAACCAACTA